GTTCGCTTTATCTTTCGACAAAAAAAAAAAAAAGGTGAAAATACCGATATTTGGTGTAACGTCAGGTGTATTTTGAGTAATGTAAGGACAACATGATTGCATGATCGACCGTGTTTCTGTCAATAAAGTGTGTTGTGTTTTCTCGGTCAACCAATCATCGACAGAACTAATCTAATATGAAAATCTTTCTTTAGAATCCGTCGAGTTCACATAACATACATGTATTCCCTATAATACTTTGTTGAATGTACTTTCAATCCTGCAGCCAGCCCATTGTATGAAATAGGGAAACACATTTTCTATTTAATTAATTGAAATAAATTGTTAATAAAAAACGAAAAAGCTCGAAAAAAAGAGAATAAACGCAAAACACATGATAATTCTCTGATTTTTCCAAATATAAAAGAAATCCCTAAAAATTTCAGATTTCCCATATTTTTCCAGCGAGTAGACATCCTGAATTTAAGAACAAAATTATCAGAGAAAAATTTTCGAAAAAATTCCTCGAGTGTCCCAATAAAATTCCACGATAATTGCCTAATTTTTTTCTTGGTAAAAAAGAAATCTCACATTTTTCCCGATGGCAGAATGCCACGCTTTTGACAATTGAGATACCTACATTGCAACAGGTAGGACGCGAGGAAAGGAAAAACGATACCAGGTAGGGAAATATTTATGACAGGCGCCAGTGACAGGCGGGGCGGCTCGACTCGGCTCGACTCGGCGCGACTCGGCCCGACTCGGGGCCCGACAGCGCGATGCGGTGTCGGTGACGCGCTTGCGACCAGAGAGGCACAAGCGAAAGAAAATACACCGTTATGCCTGCATTTCGTTAGCTAATGGTAGCCCGTATCCTCGAACCTTGCCGAGATCGTGTCGCGAAAGATTTTTTTTTCAAAATGACGCGCTTCGCCCACGTAAAGTCGTTGCGTCGCGGCCGGAAACGGTACTTAATTAAAGCGTTTATAACTTGGCCTTCTTGCCGTCGCCCTTTTGTTATTTCGCACGACGCCTTTCTCCTTCGGACAACCGTCGCACGTACAAATAAATCCTCGAGAATAACGCGATAATAAAGGATGATATTGGAGGGGAGGAGAAATCAACAAGATGCTTCCTAATGAGATTAATTATGATTAATTACTTGAATTCCTAGACGGCGTCCACGCACCAATACAGTTATCTCGCGTGCAAACGAAGCCGTCAGTATAAATCTATCTAGATTATACGAGAATATAATCTTCCTCACCGTTCCTGGATACATCCAACTCCACGAGATTCTCGAAATTCTGGATGTCTGGCGGCAAACGGTGTATCTCATTGTCGCTCAGGCCAAGCTTTCGTAGCCTTTGGAGTCGAAAGAAATTCTGAAACCGAGTACAAATACGATGATATAGACTGGCATACAAAACGAAAAAATCAAGAAAGAAAAATGTGTTAAAAAAAAAATAAAAAATAAATTTCTTTCAAACGTTATATTGTATCATATTGTCTTTATTGTATCGTACGGATACGATAGGGACAAGATTTTTGCTCCGCAGGATACTTACTTTTGGCAGATCGCGGATATGATTGGCGTCCAGCAGAAGTTCCTCCAAACTCCTGGAGTAACGCAGAATGTCGTCGGGGACGCACGGCAGAGAGCAATGACGTTTGTCAACGTATTCCACCTGCCTGTTACACCCTTTAAAAATCGGAATGCAGCGGAACATGGTACTACTCTCTATTCTCACCGTATTCACGTATCACGTTAAAACAGCACCGTACATAATCATCCCGCGGATAAAAACGAACGGACGGACGGACGGACACAGACGCGCGCTCGCGCCGTTATTTGCACATACTTTCCATCCGATGACGGAAGGAACGCACGATTTTCACGCCCTGCTCTCGGCTTTAAACTCGCGTTACTCTCGGGCCTATGCTTCGAGATCTGACGTCATCACGTCGACGATCACGTTGCTCGCGTTGCTCTAAAACCACGCGAATAAAACTACGAACGGGTACGACCACGTACGGGACTATCTCGTTCCGATCTCTTCCGAACGTGTCGCCAGCGTCACGGGAATATATATACCATAAAATATAAAATATATAGACGGAGCACTAGTTGCCGAGAACTATGCGCATTGAAAATTAATAATAAAGGTGCCATTACATGGCAGCATCGAGCGTCTGCGCAGAAATCATTGCGCAGGAATCTGAATGAAATAGATTCCAGCTTCTTGCGGCTAATAGCATGATGAGTAATATGAATTCGGTCGAGATAAAAAAAATTATGTTCTGATACACATTACTAATACTGAAAATTGATATTTATTTACATTATACACAATAGATATTATTATTATTAAACAAAATATGTATAAAACGTTACTATCCCCCAGCAGAATATTAGAATCTAATCAAGGATTAAGGATTAAGGGATATAATTTTCATATTTTCTTTTCCTGCATGTTTATAACATACTGCTCCTTTAAATCATTTCCTACTTTTAACAATAGTTTTTCAAACTGTATCGTTTTGTCATTTGTGAATTCCTTTCTGTGTCTTATTTATTTGAATATTTCAACCATCCAAAATCTTTTGCCGCATTTGTATTTTAATTTTATTTTAATTTACATTGCCAGAGTAGTAACGTTTCATAATATATCTTTGATTAATAAACACACACACACACACATCTGTTATATAATAAAATAAATGAAATATAATTCTGGGCAACAATATTCTGCGCAGACGCTTAACGCTCGACGCTTGACGCTGCCATGTAAAGGCACCTTAAGATTGACAATTGTAAAATTTAATCGCCCACGTCGTCAAATTCAAAATAGAACTCTCTGATTGGTCGATCGTTGCTGGTTATCCCTAGGTTACCCTAGACACTAACTGATATGAGTGGTTGTGGCCATTTGACAGGTGGTCGAATGGAATGCTCCTGTCACTACCGTGTATATTTATATTAGATTTGTTCGCGTTGCTTGAACTTTTTGCACTCAGCATCTTCGCTTTCACTCTCTTCAACATCCGAATATATATTCATCTCGTTTTAAGTGCAAAAATTTTTGGGAATTTCAAACAACGCGAACAAATCTACTGGTTGTCTATATCGAAACACATCTTATATCTATAAATGTATATATATACATGCTTTGGGGAATACCCGTTATACGTATACGTAAGTTGAATTTTCCGAAGTACCGTGATTACACACTATACTACTACACACGACTATGTATATACTGCAGTCACGGTCATCACGGACGGATAAAACGAAGAAGAAATAACGTCGTCACACCCAAGTTACGTACGAAGTGCGAGTTAAGTACTCTGCGCGTCGAAAAAGCGTAAAATATTTTTATTTTGTGAAGAGTATACGTTTGAAAAACAGGTAAATGCATTATCTATAGCTTTATATAATATAGAAGATCAGCATAATCTCGTATTAATAGCGCGAACTATTGTCGTGAATTGCGTTATATCGAACACGTCACTTGAAATCGGATATGGCGAATGAAATTCGCAACAATTCTTTTGTATTGTGCATATTGAAGTTTAACAATCTTTTACAAGTCTGTTTAATCTATTCTTACGTCTATATAAATTATTACTTTTTCATATATAAATGAGAAAAATAAATTTCACAGCTATGTATTAAGCACACATATGCTATTTTTATCACGTTTTTTAGACATAAGCTACAATATCGTTAACTTGTTTATGTAATAAAATTTTTAATAATAATATTGATAAGATTATTAAAATATATTAATGCTAAGATGGCCAATATTAATAATTTTTGAATGTTTATTGACACAGTTTTATTTATTTAAAATAATTAATATTATATATAAATGAAAAAAAATTATAATAATGATACTTTTCAAAGTTAGAATTA